CAACTGTTTCGCGTCGAAGCAGATATCAATCCCAGTGCTGTCAAAGGGGGTTTGAGCAAATCGGTATTGGTTGATGCTTGTATACTTGCACAACAACTGGTAAAATCAAACACAAATCCATGGAAGCTGATGAGCCAAGTCTGGGTAGAATTGCTGTCATATGCTGCTATCAACTGTAGGCCTAATATACATGCTCAGCAGCCGAGCAGGGGTGGAGAGCTTCTCACTTTGGTTTGGTTATTGATGAATCATTTGGGTTTAGGAACGCAGTTTCAAGATGCTAATGTTGCCAGAATAAAATTTGTTGTGAGGAAATGATGGGATCAAGTAATGTTCTTTTGATCATTTAGAATTTATGATTTTGAGAAGAATTTTCCTTAACAGATTATCATGAAAAGACTTTTTTTTCTTTTTTATTGTCTATTGTTAAACTCAATATTACTAGATTAATCATGAATATTTATATGATACTGTAAAAATTCCGATAATTTATTCAATAAAATTATACTAATAAGTACTCAGGTATTTCACTTAATATATATTGGTAAAAGTCTACTCCATGTTATAATTACAATCTGCAAAAAACAAAACATGACAAAAGTGAAAATTGAAGATTAAATATAACCTATATAACCCGCAATTGCACTTATTAGCGACAAACTTTGACCAAAAATCGCATGCAATAGCGGCAGATGTCTCCTCCACTCCGCATATAGCAGCTTTTGTACCAGGCTATAATCATCTCATCTTTATGTAAAGAAGCTTGAGAATCAAACAAAACAATTTTCACTTGAAATCTTATGAACATGTGATTCAATCTTACATCCAAGTGAAGATCATAAAAAAAAAATCGCAACAGCCAGGAACGCAAACTCTCACATAGCAGCAAGAGAGAAAACCAATGATGAAGTTACGTTTCAACAGCAAGATCTGCTACTTCATTCTCCGAGGATTTTTTCTATACGCTGAATTACCAACAAAAGTTCACAACCTTTCTCATATCCCAGACAAGCTTCAAAGTTAAAGCTTCTGGGTAAAACATACATGAGTCCTCAACACATAATCACAGAAACACCTGTTAGCTAGCTAGCCGAATTCTTCTAAACTTTAAACTGCAGGATAACCACTCAACTCCTCATGAAAATGACGTTCACATTCCAGCAAACTAGAGCATATTCTTCACAAAGTAGCAACATCGTAACGAAACCAACACCAGAAACAAGAAAATAGACAGCTCCAAAGCAGTAGAAACCATTAGTCCGCTTCTCACCATTAAGAAAAAGAAATACACAGAAGCATCATAGTACCTGCAGAACAATACAAGTTAACTAGGTTAAAACATAGAACCTGCCAAACCATACATGTCGTGAAACCACCAAAGTAATTTGAGCATTTAAATTTAAATGTTAAATGAAAAAACTATTTTAGATCACCATGAGCAGAGGCCTGAAAACTTGCAGCTATTGTAGTAATGCTGAAATTTACCCTGTTAAAGGATTGCTTTTTGAATGCTGAAATTTACTATAAAGTTATACAGATGATGTAAAAGCTAAAATAAAGGAAGGAAAAAACTCATTTTCTTTTCAGAAAAAAAGATAAAGGAACAAAAACACTCCTGTGGTCAGGGTTTTCAGAAGACTATCATTTTTAATTATACGGTTAAAAAAAACCACA